AGAGAGAACAAAGCACAAGACACTTTTAATGGCAAATCACAAATGGTTATAAAAATAACATTGATAATTAGGTGAAAAATATACATTTTCAAACAGTATACAGCAAATATTATTGCAATAATATTAAAACAACTGTGCTAACCATAATACTGTACAATTCTTGATGAGGATGGTGGGAACATTCAATTTTAGCTGAGAATAAAAAGTGTCTGTGCTAACAACATAATTTATTTATATCACTTAATGCTGAACAGGCAGAAATAACATGAGAAGAATGAAAAAGATTTAGTGTATGTTTTTCTATGAGCAATAGGGCCTGGGGAAAAAAATCTTCCTACAAATTATGGTAGGATGAAATTTCCAACAATGCAGGTTTACTATATTTAACACAGAGGCGCAGGTCTTGGTTGAGAATTATTGGTCATAATACAGTTAATGAAGCAACTAAATATGGTAGTACAGAATTGACTGAACAGAAACATGGATGCCATGAGCTTCCAGGTGACTTTGGCAGTCGAATAGTACATGCTGTCAGCAAAGTTCAGGTTTCTGAAATGGGGAGAGCAGGAGAGGCCACCAGTGCTTCAGGGGTGTCTGCACCCCTCAGCTCCCACCCTCCCCCTCTTTCACTGCAGTGACAGACTACCATGGGAGCAACAGCCGGAGACTTTCAAAATAATCCCCCTCCCTTATAGCACTCTGTCTTTTCCCCTCTGTGCTCAGTGGCATCTCCCCTCCCCTTGTGTTCTTTTCCTTTTCCTCTCCACTTATGCCTCTGGGTACAGGAAACAGAGCTGTTGATCTGGCCACTTTTGCCCTGCTCGAGCTGGGGCTCTGGAGAGGCAGGCTCAGCCAGGGACAGTGGCGGGGCTTTCTTTTCTGCAACTGCTTCTGGGTTTGCAGGGAACACGCAGGAGGAGCAGGAAGGGAGAGGGGAACCTGCCAACTACCCCGACTGCTGCTGTCCCTTGCTCAGCCCTGGTGACAGTGGGGGTTCCCCCTTCTTGTACCCAGGAGCCTGAGAGGAGGGAGGCAGGAATATAGGAGGGAAAGTGAGGACAGAGAGGAAGGGGAGAATTCTTATCTGGTTTGGAAACTTTTTTGCTACATTTTGGTGTATTTTCCATATATCTCTGTGTATATTGGCAAGATTTATCCCGTCAAGCATTTCCTGGTTCAACATCTCTGTATGCCTGTACGCTGAACAGAAAAAACAATAGAAATAGATAATGAACAGGTGCATGAGCCGGGCAATAAATAATTAATATTTTGCTCTAAAAAAAAGTGGTTATTGCAATACTGCTTTTATACCTATGGCCATGTGTGTGGAGTAGAGTGGCTAGATTCTAGGCTGAGCTCTCCATTAAACAAATCAAAAGTACTTATCAAGAAAATTATATGCTAGCAGCAGCCCAAATGGTCTTGTGTTAAGCTTGTGGATCTTTTTGTACTCTTTTTGTGACCCATCTTGGCTGTGGTCTGGCCTAACTGCTGCTTCATTAAGTATCTGTAGAGACCCATTTTCCTTAATTAGAGTTTACTTGGCTGCATTCACCAACTCTTTAGATTTTGGCATCAGTATTTTCATAGGGTTTAATTATAGTAACTTTAGATTGAAAGCACTATACATATACCATAGCAGACAAACTGAGGTTTTCTTACGTCTAAAGACATACAAAAAACTCTGAACAAAAGCAAAGTGGTAGAGCGTGCGGGTGTGTGTGTGTGTTATTCAGACTCATCTATTACAAGAGTAGACTGGAGGATGGGCTTGGGTAGTAGTCTGAGATGGTGTGATCTACATTCAAGCCTCTACTGTGCCTAGTTCAGAGCAGATTTTTTTTCCCTGTTGCAGATCACTTCCAATCAGGCAAAACATAGTCTTGATCTAGGCTCCTATCTGTCAGGTCAGTACTCTGACTATTGTAGAACTAGTCTCCCTCTTGCCCTTATCCAAAAACATTATGAATGAAAGTTTATGCAAAACCAGTACAAGTCTGTTAAATGCTTCAAATTTAGTTAAACAAACACCTTGAGAATGAAGGCTATGTTGAGCAATACAGTTTAAAAATGCTTCCTTGGATTTTTTCTGTCTTTTCCTGTGAAATCCTTTTAACATTGTTGAAAAACATTTGTATTTTCAAATTTGTTTCATGTTGAGACATCATATTAAAAATGCCAGACATTAGACCAGGGGTGGGAAAAATATGCCCCAGGAGTGGGAAGGACTTTGTCTGGCCCACGGTGGGGCCCTCAGTCCTGCCTGGCCCAGGTGCTCTCTGGTCGGTAGTGCATCCCGCTGCTCTCTGGGCATGCAACAGGGCTGCAGCTGGACTGTCTTTCTAGGTAGCAGCTCCTTGATGCCGCCACCATGGGCCCCATCCCTGTGGTACTGGTGGAGACCCATGTATATAACCCCAACCCCAGCCTGCCCCACACCTACTCAGGACTCGGCCCAGTGGAGTGAACCAGCTCCAGACCAGCTGGAACCCACATGCACAGCCCCAACCCTGGTCCACCATGCTCCTGCTCTGGACTCACCCATTCATGCTGAGCAGCTGTGGCAGCAGCCGAGCAGAAGCTGCTGCTCAACATGGGGGGAAAAGGCCCTTCTTGCTGTAGTTGCCCAGATCCCCTGCCGAGGCTGACCTGTAGCTCCTCTGCACTGCCACCACTGCCCTGCTGGGTGGCCTGGAGGCAGCAGTGATGGTGGTGGAGAGGAGCCGTAGGGCAGCCCAGGCTCAGGCTTTGGGGGACTGCAGCAAGAAGAGCCTGGCAATGATGAGGGGGAGGGGTTGCTTTTCCCTTGTGCGGAGCAACAGCTTCTGCCTGGCCACTGCTGCTGTTCAGCATGGGCAGATGGTCCGGAGCAGGCGCAGGGTTTTGCTGGGTTCAGGGCTGTGTGTGCTGGTTCCAGCTGGTCTGCTCTGGCTGGGGTGAATCTGGATCAAGCTCTGGGTCAGGGTCAGAGCTGGGGTTGTATGCTGTTGGTGGCGCTGGGGAGGAGTCACAGTGTGCATGGGCTCTGGGCTGTTGTGGGTGGGGGGTGCTGATCAGCATTAGACTTAAATTGCAGCCTAGCAGTTCATGTCAGATAACAGTCCTGTCTCCTCTGGTCTGTCACTGAAGGGTTACTTCCCTCTGGACAAAGATTAGAAGCAGTTCAAGCAGTGTTGACAAATTAAGTTTCTCTTCCTACCAAGAGTTCTGTGATTATGGAACAGCACCTGTGCATTCATTCAATTCTTGACATTTTTAAAATTTTTCTTTCTTGAATTTATGCATTTTGGGGAAGCTGTGAATTATCTTTTTCTTTTACCCTTTTTGTGTTCTTTCATTTAAAAAACTGGAACTTGGCACAACAGTCAAGGTAATGCAAATAAGGAAAAAGAATCTGAAATGCACGTGCCTCGTGGAATAGAAAAATGTGAGAGGTAGTAAGAGGAAAGTGGACTTATGATGGGTAGTGGACGACAAAGTAGGCATGGGTTTGTAAGGCAGCTTAAATACTCCAGTAATGCAAGTACAGAGCTATCATTTCGTGAAGTAGGAAGACTGTAGTGTGTGTTCAAGTGTCTGGTGCACAGATTAATGGATTTAGTTCTAATCACTGCTTTAGAACAGGGGGGTTGGCAGCCAGATCCAGCCCATGAAGCCATTAGATCTGGTCCATGGATGTGGGGCTTCAGTGACATTCAGCAGCAGGGGGCTTTGGCAGCACTCACTTGCCCTCCTGCCATGGGAAGAAGCTCCAGTTGTGGGCCATCTCCCTGTGCCACCGCAGGGAAAAATAGCAGCAACAGGCACTATGCCTGTGCCACTGTGGAAGAAAAGCAGCAGCAGCGACTGGATCATAGTGGCCACCTTCCCCCCTACCTCTGACCTGAACTGGATCATTCCTGCCTGCAGCCTAAAAAGGGTGCTGACAGCTGCTTTACAAGGGAAGGGAATACAAAGGAGTCAAGGCAATGCAAAGAAAAGCCAGGAAAATAATGGACCAGCCTGAGGCCTTTATCTGCTCAGTACTTTATGCATGTGTTTCCTCCCCTGTATGCTTATCACAATTCTGTTAACCTGACTATACAATTCAAGTCCTATATTTTTTCTAAATGCTAGATATTTTGGAAATATTACTAGTAGAATATCTTACTCCTTTCCCCATTTGCTCCACTTCCACTGATACTGCAGTCTTCAAAAATCAGTCCCCATTCCATTTTGCTGTGTTGGAGGCCTTGTATGAAGGGAATGACCATGTCTAAAGCAGCTAGCAGGGTTGGGGATCAATAGGAGGGAGGGCATCTGCAGGGGCAGTTGTGTAGACACTCAATTTCTGCAAATGAAGGAAGGAGTAGCCGCCTGGAGAGCAGCTATTTAGGAGGAGAAAATGGCTTCACAGTACAGAGAAAGTGGAAAGGAGGTGTTCAACAGGAGCCAAATTAACTTCTCAGCTGCTGAGCAACTTGAAGGAATTTGCTAACCACCTATGGCAGGTCTATGGTCTTCCCTAAAGTAATGCTGGTCCTGGCTAGAGAGTTTGTTGTGAGAAAAACTAAATATATATAATCTAGCTAAGTGACAACAAATGAGGAACATAATATAAGCCTACAAAGGGAGTGTTGGTATAATAGGACATTCAGAATGTCATTGTAAGTCTTTGATTTTAGCAAACTAAGGAACCTGTATGATGGGTGTTTATTCTGAGATATTTACGTTAACATCTGGACTGTTGTTATGTGAGAATCTATACTAAATGGCCCCCTATATAAATACAGAGAAAATGTTAACAGAAGATGAGTATTTTGTTCTTTTTAGGACATGTAGGGAGGATAAATCTGGTACACTATCAATTAGATAGACTATCCACCTAAACCTTGTTCTAACTAGGCTATCTATCTATAGAGAAGTATTCAAGAGACAAGGTGAACTATCTTTATCTTGAGCTAAGTTTCTTTGTGTTAGAGCCTAACATTTATATTTAAAAAATAGTTTCAATGGTGGGGTCTTGTATAATCCAGTATCAGAGAAGGCGCTTCATTAGGATGCTGCCACTGACTAGTTGGCTATATGCATGTATATTTTTAACGGTAAAATTTTTTAAATGCTTTTGATTCCCAAATATAGTATTCAAGTGACATTTGTTTAAACCTAATGATTCAGGAGAGAGTATGTTCCTGGACTTCTCCAGTACTTTGAAAATATAGTAACCAGGACATTAATTAGGGTTGCTTTAATCTTAGTTTGAATGCATTAATTTGCAACAAACTGCAGGTGGCAGTCAAACACCTTTTCACCATGGCTGCTGAAGAAACTTGCTTTTCCAGTACAGAATTCTTCTTATGGCTGAAAGTAGTAATTGAATATCTTGGACCATGTTGTTGAATTGTGGTCCTGATGATCTTTAGAGCAGTGGTTCTCAACCTTATTTGACTCAAGACACCTTGGAAAATGACCTCTCTTAATCATTCATTAATTTTTTTACTATGGAAAATAATAGAACAGTACTTATGGTGCAAAGAACAACAGGTCCTTTTTGGATTCCTATTTGAAATGTCTGGGTTTATCTTTGTGAGCCATGTATAGGTGTTTGCACACCTAGCCGTGCTAATATTGCACAGCATGCCTAGAAGGATCTTGTGTCACCCTGGTTGAGAATCAATGCTTTAGAGCTTCTCTCATAATGATGGCGCTTCGGTAAGTCTTCACAAATTGATGTTTCTGCATCTAACAGATCAAATTTTAGGTAGTTAATTCATCTCCTCTGAAAGACATGCAAACTAAAATCTATCACTTCTTTGAAGCACGTAGGCTGAAGTTTATCTACAATATTACAAAGCCTCCAAAACTCATTTTTTCCAAGATTATTAATTTCCAAAATAGAAGGGTTTTTTTTTCATGTAATAGTCATAAAAAGCACAGCATCAATTAAGATTAACTGCTAGAAATTGGCATGGTTCAGGAGAAAATCTGTAGTTTTCAACAATTTAGGATGCAGACAATTTTGAGAACCCCTCTGCTATCAAAATAGTCATTCTAATCAATACTCCCCATTCCAAATAGATAAAGAAGTCTTTAAGAGGAATGTTTCTTTGTTTGAAGAACCCTTAGGCTGCAGCAGCACCACCCACCTAGCCATACTGTCATAATAAATATAATCACTCTTAAACCTTTGGGCCAAATATGTCTGCTGTATTCCCATAGCATATTAGGAAAAGTTAGATCTACTACAGTAAATATGACTTGCAATAACTTTCTTCAGATGTGCCATTCACTGAACTCTCTCATAAGTTTTATTCTTTTTAAAAAGAACCATAACAATTTCATCTGTAGCTATAATCTTTCTTAAAGATAATACCAAAAAATAACACATGGAGAAGTTGAAGATTACCAAGAATGAACATTTGGTAGAATTGTTTCTTCTTGGATCTGGATCACAAACAGAAATTCTAGTGACAGTGTAGCAGAGGCCTGGCGTGAATACTGGCTGGTAATTGTATGTATGCAGGAGAAAGTGTTTGGGATGCATGGGAGAAAAAAGTATTGCACTGGAACATCCAAAGGTGAGCAGGGAGCAAAGAGCTAATGGAGCAGCTAAGGGTGTCTGGACTGGAGCATGGAAGGGAAGAACTGCCACGCTGAAGCCAAATTTCAGTTCAGAAGATGCAAACTCTGCAGGAAAAAAAATTTGCAAGTTCTTTTATTTTCCTTGTGCAACTTTGGAATTTTATATCTGCTCAAACAGTCTTTAACCTTAAAAAAACAAAAAAACCCCAAAACACACATACTTCCCCAGCAGCCTAAATAAATTCTCAGTTCACCTTCACCTACCCTCTACCTCAAACAAATTAACATTGACCTGGAATTACAAACAGTTATAAACAGCAGTGGGTAGGGAAGTAGTTAAAAGGATATTGAAAATGTAAAACATTTAGATTGAAAATTAAAAGTTAATATTGTACTTCAAAAAAAGCCTTGTAAAGTCATCCAAAGAACTCTACTGTTTCTACTGTTCTATAACACTGCTCATAAAATACTTGAAACCCCAGAGACAGTCCTGAGCTCAAATGGTACAAATCTAAATTGCACCTGTAATTCAGACAATTGAGAAGTATCATCCAAAATCTGCCCTGTATTTCATAACCTATTTGTCTGCTCCTGAAGAATTTAGGTTGAGGTGTAACCTGCCTTTTGTTATCACCAGAACTTACTGCTGCCTGCTTTATACAGCTACCTGGAGAAAACAAGGTTTTAAATAACTTTTCTGAGAATTGTTTGAAATATTTCCCCAAATATAGCCTTTCTATTAAATGCAACTAAGGGTATTTTTCCTGGTCCCACTTGCCAAAGTAAGCCTTCCCTTCACTCCTCCAAGTCTACGAAAACTAAATGGACAGAATATATACCCAAGCAAAGAATTAAACACTCACCCTCTTTCCAGATAATCTAATAGTAGTCCATCTAAATCCGAACTCCTTTTAAACTATAAGCGAGAAGGACTTGCCACTTATTAAGGATGTATTTGGTAGCTGTGTTGGTCTGAGACCAAAAGAAATGCAAAAATATAGAACTCTTCATTCAGAGATGATGCCTTATTAGACCAACTGAAAAATTGCCAAAAAAAATATTTTTCTGCAACCTTTTGGGGGTCACACACCCTTCACCAGGCTCAGGTAAAGTTCAAGGTGGTAAAAAGTCCCCATATGTAGGAAATAAACTCCACTGGTAATTATTCCCTTACTGTGCCACATCATACATCAACTAAAACCAAATCCATGCTTGGATCAGAGTGTAGCCTTAATCCAGGTATCTCTCTGCAGGTCTCTCTCTTCTCAAGAGAGCTCTTTCTTTGGCCCCACCTTTAGACACCATCATCTAACCCATTAGTTATTCTTCATTCAGTTTTTGGGTAGGTGAGGCCTCACTGAAAGTCCTCTCTAATATATTCATGTTGTTTGCATAGTTTTGGACTATAAGTTTTTTCCATATCATATGTCACAGCAAAATTGCAGGTCTACATTGTCTCTCACAAAGAAGCTCTAGTGGGAGCAGGAAAAAGAAGGACTTGACTCTGAAACAGAAACTGGCAGCTTGGAAATGAGCACTTTGCCACAAGTTCATAGAATTTTCTTACTCTTAGCTTCTCTGCGACATCATTGCCTCCCAGAATCAAACCTTGTGTACAAGTGTTAGTACTCCACATACCTCAGTGTCAGAAAAGCTGGCTAT